GGGGGGGGGGGGCTGCTATACATATGAAGCACAGTTCAAGCCCAATACAACTGACCAATCAAAATTAGTGAATGCACTGCATCTCTCTGCAGTGGAGAGCAGCGACAAGGTAGGCTGTCATTCTGCAAAAGCTGCCCAGAACAGGCTTTCCTCTGAAAAGCAGCGCCGTTTCTTTTTAGAAAGACTGAATCTAAATGTTGTCGCTGGAGACAAGAAGCCTTCAGTATGTTAAATTACTTTCATTATGTATTTTCAGACGCTTATTGATTCCACAGTAGGAAGAGTGAGAGACTGCAGCAGCCTCTAGCAGCACTACATGTTCCATACATTAGCAGTTCTGCTGAAACAATGGCACAGTACAAACACATATTTTCATTAAGGTCTTTTCGAAGAGATGTTTATGACCCTCTTATCAAGTCCTCTACTAACAAGCGAACAAAATGAAGCAATCAAAACTGGAAACACTTCAACTACATCAAGAATTTATCAAATCTTTAGTGGAGGTAAGATTCCTTATTATAGTATGCAGCTGCTTTTGAACTGGCATAGTGAGGTAAGATTACTTTGAAAATTCCAGCCTGAATTTTAAGTTTATTTGCTTAATTCTACTTATTGTTAAAAATGTATCTTTTAGATCTATTTCTTTTAAGATATGATATATTTTATGTAACTATAGAATACTATGTTAAATACAAAAATATTCTTTGTTGATTCACTATGAAGACATCAGTTTTTAAGTCACTTCAGATATACTAAGTAATTTTAATGTCATCAACACAGTTTTTCTCGTTTACTTAAAAGAACCATGTTTACTATTTAGCTATTATTTATTACTCAGTTTTTGGTTAAGTTTATCATTGGGCATGGTCACTGAAAATTATTTAATCTGCAGTTACATTTTGCAGTTTACCTTTTACATTTCAATTATATGAACAATTCTTCAATGGAAATTTATAATATATTACCATAAAATCTGTTTTAATCAGTTAAAATTCAAACCATGTGCTAATAATGTAGCAAGTTACAGTATTTTACAGCAGGAAATATTGTTAAATTTATTATAAAGACATGAGGGAATGACATATTTAGTATAAGCTACTTGCTCATAATCTCTGAAAATACAGGTTAGCTTAAAAAATGAGAAAAGAAATCAGTTAGTTTTTTTAAAAATACAGCTTTTCTTTCATGGTTATATTAGTGATATTAATCCTGTTATTAAATAACATAATATTTACAATCCTTCTTAGGAAAAGAGAATACTGTAATTAAAGAAACCTTTAAATTTATGTATAAGCTGTGGCTATAAAAATACAGTTTGCTTACTTTCAACAAATACTATTGTTTTTATACAGTGTTAAACAAAACTAAAGTAACTTTCAATTAATTTGAAATTATTAGGAAGCCTATTTCTTAACCATTTTTTTTCTTTTTCACAAGGGCCCAGAGCAGCTAATTCAGTACTTACAACTGAAAATATGAAGAATGCATCTGACCGAGCATCTATCTCCTTAGCTGTCTGAACCATAAACTGCAGGATATTCTTGTAACATATGATTTTAAGAAACTAAGGAGTTAAAACCAGAGAGTATAGGTCTACATTACTGCTGGGATATAACACATCGACAGAAGATGCTATATAAAATAGACACAAAAAGAAAAACAATATAATTGTAAAATCCTGAAGACAAAATGGTGAGCAATTTAAAGAGGGTGTTTATACTTTAACATACCAGAATTGTGGACCTACTGATTCTTAAAGAAACAATGAAACATGGATTGCCAAAATAAGAATGCCATATATTACCAGCAAGATAACTGAAGCTTTAGCAAGTATTTTCTGCACTAAATATTCAGATATTTTTATTAATTGATATTACTAAAGGATTTTTCCATTGGAGTTTTATGACCAATTATATATCCTCTTCTAATGAAAACAAACCATATTAAATAGCAGACGGTTTTTATCAAAAGAACATGGACTGGATTTAAAACATAAAGCAAGTTATGTGATCCAGAAATCATTTCAAAATAATCAAGACTGCTATAGAAACAGTGTGTAACAAAAGATTGTCTAAATACATTTTAGGAGCTAGAAACCTTATGTTTCCTTTTTGTTTTCACATATTCTGCAAAATAAAGAGATGCTATCATATATTCCCACAAAGGGAAATATAATTCCTACCATTTGAAGAAATTTCTCTTGGTCGTGACTTTTTAAGACAAAACAAACAAAAATATTTTGTACTGGTCTTTAGAAATGCATCAGCCAACTAAATCTCACAATTCATACAGTTGAAGTATTGGAGAGAAAAATGAAAGAATTCCTACAAGACATGAAATAAAACACAGCTACTTCACTGTTGTCAGGTAAAAATTCATGTCAAAACCTGTCAATGACATCATGTATCAGTTTGTGAAAAACTTCTATAGTGAGCCAAAAGGCCATTAAGGCAACAGCAAACAGGTAGGTCAGAAGATGCATGCTCCCTACCACACTGTTTAACATTTACAAAAGAAAACAATCTTGCTCTAGAGGAGATGCATTTTTACCTATCACCTAACTTGACATTTCTGCTTTATTTACTTATAAATCTAACTGATGTGACAAAGACCTGATGTTTAATCTGTCAGTTCAGAAAATTTGGCACACTTAAAATTTTCCATTTTTATAGGATTTCAAAATTAGTTAAGACCATCACTTACTTGAATATGTGCCTCTAGTAATACTTTACACTTATACTAAGCTCAAAAGAAATTAATATTGTTATCATTTGTGCTTCTGAAATAGTGCCCCTAAAATAATATGCATAAATAAAATTGTAGTCTAAAACTTATAAAGGGTTACATCAAGTGACAGGTTAACATAAGTTCTGAAAATTATTAGCTTTTATAATTTATGTTTGATTATGACTTTGCATCAAAATTCTGTACTCAAAATGTGAAATATAGTTGGTTGGATGATTTTATATTTTAACTCAATATACTACTGGTTACTGACATTTTAGTCCAGAAAGTCAGATATTATTTTTATAAGTTACTCTATACCTCTATATATTAAAATACAGATTTGCATGAATTAGCAAGAGTTTTTTTGGTTTTTAAGTTTCCTCAAAATTATACACAGGGTGATTTACATAAAAGGTTCCAGATGGGCCTCATATACTCCTTTCCCCTAAATTTTCATTTTTTTACTTGAAAAATTCTGCTTAAATAAAATCAACTGATATATTCTTTTAAACCACTTCAATATGGCTATTTATTAATATGATATTAAATTTCTATTTTCTCCTTCCACAAGAATCAAAAGGGTGTGGTCACAAAATAAATCATTCATAGAGTGATTATTGTTCCAAGCTTTGTGGCGTTTTACTTTAACGTATGTCTTTTTTCTTCCAATTTTTATAACATAAGTTTGCTCACTATAAAGTTTAGTGAGCATTTTAATTACAAAATGTGAAATATTTATCCTCTATTTCTGTGGGAAAAAACTCCAAATATCCCTAAATCATATTGACTTGTGAATATAAGTTTCTATCAAGAACATGAACAAAATAATTTAAACCAAACTAGTGCTCTATGCCATTTATCATTTTAAATGAATAATTGTCCTGTTCATTTGAAATCTCACAGAATAATCACACCTACACAAATTATGGTAGGGCAAATTAAAGCAATGTTTATTTCCCACCTACTCACAACATTTTTAAATGAAATCTTAAAACACTGGGATAAAAGTAGTTTTACATACCGGGTAGTTTTATTATACAAAAATATGATATGTCTCAAATAATAAGCTTGAAAAACCCAAATGAAGAGGATGTTTTTAGTATACGAAATAATTCTGAACTATATAGGAGTAAATCCCATATAGTTATTTCTTCAAAGGGAGAACCCAATTTCCTTTTACATTGAAATAATGCAACCTTGATGTTTCCTAATTCTACGTTTTCCATTAATAGTTTACAAACTTAAAAATGAAGTACAAAATAAAAAAGGTGTTTTGTTGTTGTTGTTTTACAAAGAACACATGTTTTATACGTCATTTAAATTGCCAAGTAATCAAATAGCTTATTCTGCTTCAATTTCTAGGGAAAAAAAGCAGCTGCTCCAAAAGAATGTGTTTTTCTCCCATTCTGGAAATCAACATGCAGCCTGAATCTAACATTACAGTTCGAGATGACATTGATGACATCAACACCAATATGTACCAACCACTATCATATCCATTAAGCTTTCAAGCGTCTCTCACCGGATTTCTCATGTTAGAAATTGTGTTGGGACTTGGCAGCAACCTCACCGTACTGGTACTTTACTGCATGAAATCCAACTTAATCAACTCTGTCAGTAACATTATTACAATGAATCTTCATGTACTTGATGTAATAATTTGTGTGGGATGTATTCCTCTAACTATAGTTATCCTTCTGCTTTCACTGGAAAGTAACACTGCTCTCATCTGCTGTTTCCATGAGGCCTGTGTATCTTTTGCAAGTGTCTCAACAGCGATCAACGTTTTTGCTATCACTTTGGACAGATATGACATCTCTGTAAAACCTGCAAACCGAATTCTGACAATGGGCAGAGCTGTAATGCTAATGATATCCATTTGGATTTTTTCATTTTTCTCTTTCCTGATTCCCTTCATTGAGGTAAATTTTTTCAGTCTTCAAAGTGGAAATACATGGGAAAACAAGACACTTTTGTGTGTCAGTACAAATGAATACTACACTGAACTGGGAATGTATTACCACCTGCTTGTACAGATTCCAATATTCTTTTTCACTGTCATAGTAATGTTAATTACATACACCAAAATACTTCAGGCTCTTAATATTCGAATAGGCACCAGATTTTCAACAGGACAGAAGAAGAAAGCAAGGAAAAAAAAGACTATTTCTCTAACCACACAACATGAGACTACAGACATGTCACAAAGCAGTGGTGGGAGAAATGTAGTCTTTGGTGTAAGAACTTCAGTCTCTGTAATAATTGCCCTCCGGAGGGCTGTGAAACGACACCGTGAACGAAGAGAAAGGCAAAAAAGAGTCTTCAGAATGTCTTTATTGATTATTTCTACATTTCTTCTCTGCTGGACACCAATTTCTGTTTTAAATACCACCATTTTATGTTTAGGCCCAAGTGACCTTTTAGTAAAATTAAGGTTGTGTTTTCTAGTCATGGCTTATGGAACAACTATATTTCACCCTCTACTATATGCATTCACGAGACAAAAATTTCAAAAGGTCTTGAAAAGTAAAATGAAAAAACGAGTTGTTTCCATAGTAGAAGCTGACCCCATTCCTAATAATGCAGTAATTCACAACTCTTGGATAGATCCTAAAAGAAACAAAAAAATTACCTTTGAAGATAGTGAAATAAGAGAAAAATGTTTAGTACCTCAGGTTGTCACAGATTAAGGAAAAGTCTAAGTTTCACCAAATCCACATTCAGAAGTTTTAAATTTAAATTGTAAAAAGTGAAGTTACCGCCAAATATAAGAAAAACATTTTAAGTATTAGTTATGTTGTAAATTTTCAATGTACATGTCCAGATTAGATTAGGTCATATATATTCAATTTCTTCATAACTTAATGTATTTGTTGCATGGCAGTTTGTTAAAGTAATATCATGTATATTTTGTCAATAGTATGTCCATCAGAAGATATTCATGTAAGTCATATTTTCTAAATAATAAATACATAGCCTTAAAACAGTCTATAATTTAATAATATAACTGACACAGGTATCCTTGCTATTGATGCTTTTATAAAGTATACTGTTTCTAAGACACAAACTATAGACATATTTATATAATGGCAACTGGAATAGCATTTTAACATAAGATCCAAAATGACGGCTCCAAACAATCAAAACAACCCAGAATTTTCTGTACCACTATATGGTTTTCTGGTATAATCAACTTGCTATAATATTTGATGCACCAAAAATAACGAACCATGTACAGAACTTTATCCTTTTTTCAAATGTAGAGACTACAGGGTTTATCAGAATTTTAATATTCAAGAACCAAAAACAAATAACCTTTATATGCACACCAAGAGAGGGAAACTTTTAAATTCAAGTTTATTGTGAAAAAGAGACTGACTTTCTAAAACAAGGGCATTATACCTATACTATACAACTGAACTGACAATAAAGAATAGGAAGAAAACTAAACCACCAGCTTCTTTCTTCCTTTCTCACTTTGCTTCAGCCTAAGCCAAATGCTTAGAATTTATAATAGAGTCCGCTAGCAAAAACAGTGTATTAAAAAAACTTTATTCAAGTTGGCCTTTTTATGTAATAGAAATTAACTATTAAAATTTGAATACAAGGGAGAAAAAAGACTATATTATTGTAGAAAACCTTAACAAAGCCAACTATGTCTAATTTTAGATACATAGCAACTTTAGCGTTATACAATTTACACAATGTTTCTACCCTATCATAGCTCCCAAATGTTTCAAAATACAGTTCTATTTCCACTCTGAAAATTGTTACAGTGGCAATAAACCTTGTCAATTTGTTTTACTCTCACCACTTAATTTAACTTCAAGCATTTTGTCTCCAATCCTCAATTAATGTTGGAAAACCGTGAAATTACTAATCCTACCTATAGATAGATATCAGGTTTGAAAATTCTTATCAAATATTTTCCAACTGTAATAATCTATCCATGAGTGCTAAGTATCACCATATCAGAAAAATAGCAATAAATTACTTAAAGTGGGCAAATACTTGCTACCTTATAACTGGTTAACTGGACAACTTTTTATTGTATTTTTTTAATACTGTATTCACTAAATCAAGTAGCAATTCATTTTTAATTATATCAAACAATTCATTAATATATCACTTTTATGTAAATAAATGAGGTTCATTCAGTTGAGCTTACCGAATACCCTAATCCTTAGGAAAATAAGCACCCTAATCCTTGGGAAAATGAGCACCGTGCAATAGCTTGAATTCCCTGAGGTTGCAACAAATTTAATAGTGATTTGCTTCTGATAATAATGCTCACAATGTCAAATCTCAGCAAAGTCAAAATTACCTTCTTTCCTACTTATTTTCTATTCTTTTACAGGATTAAAGAAATGCTTCAATTTAACAAAATGTAGCATAAGACTTATTTTTTTGAAACCCTGAAGGCAAATTAAGAATTCAAAGACAAAGATATAAAGAAAATTTTTATTTGATAAATATATTTGGTGTAGAATATCTGATAATATATTAATTTTAAAAATTTTAAACTAATTTTATAGTTGGACCTTCAAGCATAAATTAAAATTTTAATATGGTGTTATAATCTTAATTAAAAATTAGACTATTTTTAGAGCTTTCATATTAAGAGAAAACCTTTTGTTTTAAATATTTTTAATCTTTAAGTCTATATGCATGTCAAAGAACTCAGTTAAAACACATTTTTCTAATATATTTGCCTAAACTGATTTCAAGCGCTCTTGTTCTCCGTAATAAGTAATCTATCGAAATAAGAAATAAATGGCAAATATTATAATGTTGCCCTCTAAACTGTTATTATTTCTATACTTGATATTGAAACAATTAACAAGCATTTCTGCCCGCCTGTAGTGATCTTTCCGGTATACAAAAGCATACCCACTGATTTATAATACAGAAAAATAATACTTACCAGACAACTTCTAATAGCTTTTTAATATTAAATAGTATGTAATATGTCAATCAAAATAATATTTATAAGTTCAGCTTTTAAAAGAAGACACACATATGTTTGCAATTACTGACCTCAACTTAAATGAGGGCTTTCAACACCATGTATAAATTTTTTAACTTCAAATAACTTTACCAAAGTAAAATTCATGGTAATTTTTCATGTTAGCCAACTACTACCCAACAGATGTTTAACCTATTATAAAAATTGAATTATTTACAACTATTTTTTTTAAATTGGAATTCATAATAATTCTGTAATTCTCACTCATCATAAGTCAATTTTTAGGTATGTGGTCTATTTTTTAATACCCCAAATAAAATTACAGCCAAATCTCAGTTCTTTGGACATTAAAAATGAAACTCATTTAACTGAGATTAGACTTAAAAGTGAAAACCTAAAAGTATAAGAAAACAAGTGCTTAGTAGCACTTTAGTCAACATAGTAATTTCAAGACTACTTTCTAAAGTCAATAAAACTTTTGGTTTTCTTACGTTTTATTATTGTATATTTAAGTAAGCTTTGTAATGCAATTAACACTTTAATTCTTACAATGTAGAAGGCATTATGGCAAATACTCATATTCATATGAAATAGACTCATTACCCTCAGAGCTTAAAATCTAGAGTCAAGGTAATAAGCATTACAATATCTACAAAAAAGGCAGAATGTGATAAATACTACAAAAAATAATAAAGTTCTTAACAGACTTAAGACAAAAGAAATTACGTTAGGTATAAAAAGAATATAAACAGTCCTGGCTGGTGTGGCTCAGATGGTTGGGCATCATCCCATGCACCAAAAGTGGGTTCGGTTCCTGGTCAGGGCACTTACCCAGGTTTTGGGCTCGATCCCTAGTGGGGGACATGCAGGAGGCAGCCGATTGATGTTGCACTCTCACATTAATGTTTCTCTCTCTCTAAAAATCAATAAGCTACTTTTTAAAAAACAAAACAAAATATAAACAAAAGCACTATTGAGGGAAGCTACTGAAGCATATTCTGGAAATGGTAAATTGTTTTTTTTTAGAAGTAACACAGTGGTGAGAAGTTTACCTTGTAAGTTAAATTGGGCCCGAAAGGCAGAGGCCATTAATGCCAGCAGAGAAATCAGAGCAGGGGAATGATACCATGAGTAATGAGCTACACAAATAATAATAATAATAATAATAAACAGGAACATGTACAAAAGTTGACTGGGTAAGACAGTAATGCAAAGCTGAGAAACCAGATGGTTGCTGGATAAGCCACAGAAGACGGGAAGCTGTTGCCATCACCTGGATAGGTAATGAAGTCCTGGTAGTAGTTCTACAAAGGAGCATATATAGATGTGACAGGCAATGTGAAGGCAGAATCAATAGGGAATGCCAACTGACTAGAAACACAACTAGAATAAGAGATTTAAGAATTTTAAATGACCGCCATAAAAAAACACACAAAAAAACACAACAAAATGTAAGAAACAAGATTATCCTCAATGATCTAAGAATTTTTAAAAATTTTTTAAAATATGTTTTTACTGATTTGAGAGACAGAGAGATGAAGGGAGAGGGAGAGAGATAGAAACACCGATGAACATCTAATGGCTGCCTCCTGCATGTCCCCTGCTGGGGAACCAGCCTGAAACCTGGCCATGTGCCCTGACCAGGAATCGAACTAGTGACCTCTTAATTCATGGGTCAACTCTCAACCACTGAGACACACTGGCCAGCTGATCTAAGAAATTTTAAATTATGTTTTGTATAAAGTACATGGATAACAAGGGCAAAGACAGAAAAACCATTTCTGGAAAAGCAGAAAAATCAATTAAGTAAAATCAATATTATCCAAGAATGTTCTAGTTATTAGAAAATACTAAAAATAAAAATTTTGAACTGATGTTTTAAACTACTATATATTTTGCATATTGGTTTATTCAGTTTTCCATTAAACACATATTTTCTTCTTCAGTAATTTTTTTAATTATAAAAAATTATAAACACAATGGAAAAATTCCAAGGTATATAAAGTAAAAAATATAAGTATCATCCTTTGCTTTTTTTCTAATAATTTATTATAAATATCCATTCAACTCATTATATACATATTCCCTTCATTTTTTAATGGCTTTATAAAAATAATTTTAGAATATTAAAAACCATATAGCAATAGTTCTAAAAAGTAATATTGATAAGATATCAAATACTTAAACCCTTTTCTATTAAAATAAGTAGCTTCAAGCTACATTTCCAGACATCTTGTTAAAGGTAAGAAAGGTAAATTGACAAACTGTGAAGCACATTATTTTTCTAAATGGTGAGAAGTAAGGGAAGAAGCGTAAAATAATGTATTTCTTTTCTCCCTTTCCCCTAAATAAGATGAGAAATAAAAAACTAAAGGAAACTTTTGAAGCCTATTTTCTTTACACCTCAGAGATGGCCTCTTACATGTACTCCTGAATGTAAGCCTCCTATGGAATTGCTGTAAACTCACAGAAAACTAACCATGAGATTAATTAATAATAAATGTTAGGGGGAAAAGGAGCTCAGATCATATTATAAAAGAGAAAATTAAACCTAGATAAGGCAGGAAAAAGATCTAAAATACTCAGAGATTCTAATCTATTATAGAAATACAAAGAGAACACAGAACTGTAGGTTACAGTTCACAGAAGAAAACTAATTTGAAGACTGACTTTTTAGGAAAAGATGGCCAACGTCACTAATCATCAGAGAAATGCAAAGTAAAACCCAATGAGATATCAGCTCACACCTGTCAGAATGGCTATCATCATAAGTCAACAAACAAAAAGTGTTGGCAAGCTTGTGGAAAAAAGAGAATCTGTTGTGGGAATGCAGATTGGTGCAGCTGTTCTGGAAATCAGTATGGAGTTTTCTCAAAAAATTAAAAATGGAACTGCCTTATGACCCAGCAATTTCACTTCTCAGAAAATATCTAAAGAAACCTGAAAAATTAATTCGAAAGAATATATAGACCCCTATGTCCACTGCATTGCTATTTACAATAGCCAAGATTTGGAATCAGCCAAAGTGCTCATCAGC